CAGCTATGTAACTTGAGCACCTTGACTGCCTTCTCATGCCAAGTTCCCTTGGTCTGTACAGCAGGGATAAAAATAGTATCTACTTGATAGGTCTGGCAAGAGGATTCATGGAGCTAATTTAAGCAAGCTACGGAGCCCAGCCCCTGGCGCAGAGGAATTCCAAAATAAATGTTAGCTATTGTCATTACCATCGTTGTCATCAAGATTATTATTATTATTATTATTATCAGTATCTTAAGAGCCTGGTTTGTTTTGAGTCAATGCCCTGCGCTGGGTCTGTTCCAGGTACCCTGAGAAGTCAAATTTCTGTACCTGTGTTGCTGCCAAGAAGAGTCCAGCCTGGCCTGGCCTTCCCTTAGCCCCTCCTCCAGACAGACCGAGCGCAGACACTAGCCAGCCCACTGTCTGGCCCCCACTCCCTGGCTCAGCTTCAAACGGCCGTTGCTTACAGACCGACTACAGGGGGCCTGGCCTTGCTTCCGTCTGCTTTTCCCAACTCCAGATGGCCTGAGAGGACCAGCATGGGGGACTTTTATTTCTGTAGTGAAGCCAGGGCGAGAGAACAATGCTGGCTGGCATGACTCTGGCATGGTTTTCCCTTTATCCTGGATTGCCCCTGTCTGGGGGGCAGCTGGAATCACAACAGAGGTTCTAGTAAGTTCTAGAACAACATCTCTCAATAGTGGCAACTCCTTGGTCATAAAGAGGAGGGAAACATGAGCACGGCGTTTGCATATTGGTCCTCCCAGGTTGAATTAAATGGTTATTTTTCCAGGTCAGAATGCCCCTTTTGGAGGTTTTGTGGTGGAGGCTGTGGTGCACCCAGGGCCGCCCACCCCTTTCGGACCAAGTCCCTAGTCCCCCAGCTGTCAGCGGTGTTGGCCACCAGCAGCTCGAAGCTGAGGTGATGGCTACGTCAGTTCCTAGGACCAGCTCATACTCCGAGACTGGTCAGTGCAGAGATACGAAGGTCCAGCCCCCTCACTCACCTCAGGACCACTCCCCGGGGCCGTGTTGGCACCTGCCCTCCCTCTGCGAGTGGTTGAGGCACCTGTTGGAACTGTCTCGTGGCTCAACGTCTCCCTCTGTCTAAGCCTGCTTCCCTGACCTTTCCCATGTGTTGTTCTGGTTAACACCCCCCACAAACTTCCTGCGTGAAGATCAGACTCCAAGCCTCTTCCAAGGGAACTCTATCTGTGGTGGGGACAAGCGGGAAGGACCTAGATCAAAGTCATGTGCAATGCTTTGTCTCACAGGGAGGGGGTCAGGTCTCTTATCACCTAAAAGCAAACATATTTAGAAGAGAAGAGAAAACTCCTTAGTGTTCCCTTGGTCACTACTTGTGATTCTTCCCCTGCAGGTGCTGCCCAATCCTGTGGGGACATCCTAAGCCCTGGGCCCCTAAGCAGACTCTTGGGCCTGCAAAGTCACCCACAACGTTCCCCCTCCACCCCTCTGTCATCGCGGCAAGAAGATATTTCCCCAAAGTCCACTGTCCCAGACAGAGACTTCCTGTCGGGGGATTGCCCTGCTCCCATGTTAAGTGGGTGCAGATGCACCTGTGCTCCCCACTTCCTCTAGATGTGCAGGAAAACCTGAGATTGATTTAGGATACGGTGTATGTGGACTCCTTGAAATTATGTGCAAAATTATAATAATACTCTTTTTTTAGACACAGAGAGTGTTAGCTGCTTTTTTCAGATTTTCAAAGGCCTCTGACCCAAAAAGTATGAAGACCCATAGTGGCCTAGAGAAAAGAACTGTGCCAGATGCTGACAGAAAGTTCACCCCCCAGCTCCTGACGAAAGTCTTGGGACACAGGTCATGAGGCTCTTCACGATTCACTTCTTACGCAAGAGGCGCACAAATTCTGTCTTGGACGTCGCCGCCTTCCTTATCTCTGTTCTTCACGTGGGCTGGCCTGAGCCCCGGGCCACATTCATCGGGGGCCCTATCCCCCCACCTCCTCCTCACCACACATCTCTGAATTTCCACCTGACGACTCCCTCTGCTCTTAGGGCCCCCTCAAAATGTTTGCCTAAGGAAGTAGATGCCACACACAGAACGGTGTTAGGACAGAAAAGAGGATCAGGACCCAGGTTGGGGGTGGGGGAGGGGGTGGCGGTGGGGTCACAGTGACCAAGGTTTGATTCTAGCTCTGCCACATTTTAATTGTAGACCTCAGGACCTCAGCCAAGGGGGTCTACTTCGCTGAGTCTGAGTTTCCTTTTCCAAAAAGTGTTACAACAAGGGGTTGTTGTGACACTTAAAGGTGACTGTGTATAGAGCTCAGTACCTTGCCTGGCCTGGAGTAAGCCCTGGTAAATGTCAGTGTTGGGAGCACCACTCGGTAGTGGCAACAGGACACGGAGTTCCGTTATAAAAATAAATGGGGTCATTTGAGTCTCTACGGTGAACTTGGTTTGGCACGAAGCTCTTCAACTGCACCTGAGATCAATAAAAGTAATAGTACCGAGTCACCTCCATCGTGAAATTCTGCTCTTCTTTGGGGAGAACTTGAGATTTCCTTCTCTTTCCTTCTCTTGACTCCCAGTGGAGGGCAGGGGCATTGAAGTGTGCTTTCCTGTCCCTCTGCCCTGCTCTAGCAGGGTGAGTCACTCTTTTTTGTTGTTGTTGTTGTTTTAATTTTATTATGTTATGTTAGTCACCATACAATACATCATTGGTTTTTGATGTGGTGATCCACGATCCATTGTTTTCGAATAACACCCAGTGCTCCATGCAGTATGTGCCCTCCTTAATACCCATCACGGGGCTAACCCATCCCCCCACACCCCTCCCCTCTAAAACCCTGTTTGTTTCTCAGAGTCCATAGGCTCTCATGGTTTATCTCTCCCTCCGATTTCCCTCCCTTCATTTTTCCCTTGCTTCTCCTAATGTCCTCCATGCTATTCCTTATGTTCCACAAATAAGTGAAACCATATGATAATTGACTTTCTCTGCTTGACTTATTTCACTTAGCATAATCTCCAGTCCCATCCCTGTTGATGTAAAAGTTGGGTATTCATCCTTTCTGATGGCTGAGTAATATTCCATTGTATATATGGACCACATCTTCTTTATCTGTTCATCTGTTGAAGGGCATCTCGGCTCTTTCCACAGTTTTGCTGTTGTGGACATTGCTGTCATGAACATTGTGGTGCATATGGCCCTTCTTTTCACTACATCTGTGTCTTTGGGGTAAATACCCAGCAGTGCAATTGCTGGGTCATAGGGTAGCTCTATTTTTAATTTTTTGATGAATCTCCACACTGTTTTCCAAAGTGGCTGTACCAACTTGCATTCCCACCAACAGTGTAAGAGGGTTCCCCTTTCTCCACAACCTCTCCAACATCTGTTGTTTCTTTCCCTGTCCATTTTTGCCATTCTAACTGGTGTAAGGTGGTATCTCAGTGTGGTTTTGATTTGGATTTCCCTGACGGCTAATGATGATGAACATTTTTTCATGTATCTGTTAGCCATTTGTATGTCTTCTTCAGAGAAGTGTCTTTTCATATCTTCTGCCCATTTTTTGACTTGATTATTTGTTTTTTGGGTGTTGAGTTTGAGAAGTTCTTTATAGATCTTGGATACCAGCCCTTTATCTGTAGTGTCATTTGCAAATATCTTCTCCCATTCTGTGGGTAGCCTCTTTGTTTTGTTGACAGTTTCCTTTGCTGGGCAGAAGCTTTTTATCTTGAGTCACTCTTGATCTTATCTCCTGCTGGGTCCTGGGATGCTTCCTGGACACAATGATCTGTGGGGTTGGCCCTTGTCCCTGCAGCTCCCTGACATGAGCGACCCTAGGAGCATCCAAGAGTGACCCTTCTCCCCACTGTCAGGGGTGCAGGGTCTCCCCACACCTTTTCTAGAAACCTCTGGGCTAGTCCCTCAGCCCTGTCTCTCATCTACTCTCAGGGACACCAGAAGTGGTTTTATGGGTTGGCAACCTACACAATCCCACAGGATCCCGGACTCAGAAGGGCCCTGTACTGCGGATTTAGTGCTCTGCCCCTGCTGATCACCTTCTGGGAATTCTTCATAATCTTATCTTTGAATCTGTGCTTTATACACAAAGTCCCGTGGTGCAATGGAGCATGTCCTGGGGCTTGGCAGCTCAACTCACAAGGGTCCTACCTCCCATTGCTTTCCCACCTCCAGGGTCCCAAGCATCTTGAACCCACCCAGCCTCCACCTTTCAACCCAGTGCAGCTGCCACCCTCTGCCCCTGGTGCAGGCCTGAGCATGGGCATGGGGAGGGTCAAGGTCAGGTATGTGTGCCCCACACATCTTGGGATAGGGCGCGGTGATGGCTGTCCACACTCCAGGTGGGCCACACCATGGCATGCTCCATGGGTGATTGGGGAGGGCAAGACTTTCTTACTCTGATCCAGGTGCTAGCTGCGTCCTGACACCCCAGGGTCTCCTCTAAATTGGGGGTTGAAGCAGCATGCCCATGGGGAAGGAAAATGCCTGGCTCTGTGCCCCTGTCCCTGGATGGGACACAGTACATCAGTCCAGCTGATGGCTGGCAGGAGAGGGAACCTGACTTGTGGGGTCTACACAGGCCTTTATATCTTTGCATCTGAAGGAGCAGGACGGTAAATATTGAAAACAGGTCAAGAGAGTGAAACTGCAGAAATAAATGGGAAAAAAAAAATCTTTTTTTTTTTTTTTGTATCTTTAATGGCCCTTCTGCTTTTTGAACAAGAGGTTTTTTTATGAATTTTTATTTGGCCCTGAGTCCCCAAATAATGGGGCTTGAATCCCCTCCTCTTTGATCCCCTCCACTTCTCTCAGGTGCCATGAAAAATTTGGGAGGGAGGAGATGGGGGTGGCGCAGGTGCCAGGCATGGACATCTCTAGCAGCCCTCCATGGTCTGGAAATGTCCCACGCTTCTGCAAGTCGGTTGCTTTCAAAACTCTGCCCATGGAATCTGGTCCAGGCCCTCTTTGTCCCAGGTTTCCCTAAGTTAGAGAGAAAATGTATCTCTCTCTTTTTTTTAAATATTTTATTCATTTTTTTGACAGAGAGAGACACAGCGAAAGAGGGAACACAAGCAGGGGGAGTGGGGGAGGGAGAAGCAGGCTTCCTGCCGAGCAGGGAGCCCGATGCAGGGCTCGATCCCAGGACCCCGGGATCATGATATGAGCCAAAGGCAGACGCCTAACGACTGAGCCACCCAGGTGCCCGAGAAAATTATCGCTTGATTCATGTAATCTCTGTCCTATTTTTTGCTGCTGTCAATCAAAAATCTGGCCGCACTCTTTGATGTGTAAGAAGAGATTGGTCTCAAAAAGTGCAAAATCCATTGTTAAGTGTCCTTGATGTTTCCAGTTATTGTCTGCCCACATTAGTACACCACTTCCCATGTGGCCGCAAGAGCTACTATTATTATACTGCTGTGCATATTTATGTGTGCGTATAAATAAATGCGCACACAGGAAATGAAATTTTGAAGTCAATAAATCTGTTAAAAAATCAAAAATATGTCATTGGGTAAGTCGTCCTACACACTCCTGCCAAATATCTCACTGTTGTAAAGCATGTCTGTGGTTTTTAAACCAAAATACATCAAGGAGTTCCTTTCTACCTGCTAGATGGGATGCTGCCCAGTTCATGAATTGTTGAATAAAGCCAATTAGATCTTCAAAAAAAAAAAAATACATCAAAGACCACAATGTAGGAGCTAAAATATAAAACTCTTAGAAGAAAACACAGGGGTAGATCTTCACGACCTTGGATTTGGCAGAGGATTCTCAGCTAGGACATCAAAAGCACGGGCAACAAAAGAAAAAATAGATAAAGTGGAATTCACCAATAAACTTTTGCTTTTCAAAGTAAAAAAAGTCAACACACAGAGTGGGAGAAAATTTTTGAAAATCATATGTTTTATAAGGGATTTATATCTAGAATATATAAAGAACAGTTGCAACGGAATGATAAAGAGACAACCCAATTTGAAAAATGGGCAAAGGATCTGAACTGACATTTCTCCAAAGAAGATATGCACAATAAGCACATGAAGTTCAATAAGCCCATGAAGAGATGCTCAACATCATGAGCCATCAGGGAAATGCAAATCAAAATAGTAATGAGAATACACTTCATGCCCACTAGCATGGCTATCATATAAAAGTCAGATAATAACAAGTGTTGGCCAAATTAGAACCTTCATACATTGCTGGTAAGAATGCAAAATGGTGCAGCTGCTGTGGAAAACAGTCTGGCGGTTCCTCAAAAGGTGAAACATCATTACCATAAGACCCAGCAATTCCACTCCTGGGTGTGTACTCAAGAGAAATGAAAATATATATCCACACAAAAACTGGTATGGATCAATAACAGCATTATCCACCATAGCCAAAAGATGTAAACAACCCAATGTCCATCAAAACATAAATGGATAAACAAAATTTGATGTATCCATATGATGGAATATTACTTGGCCATCAAAAGGAACAAAGTAGTGGCAAATGCTACAACGTGGATGAACCTTAAAAACATGATGCTAAGTGCCAGAAACCAGTCACAAAAGACCACATATTGTATGGTATAATTTACATGAAATGAGCAGAATAAGCAAATCTATAGTGATTGAAAGTAGCTTAGTTTTCTACTGCTAGGGGAGCAGGGCATTAAGCTAAGGGGTGCAGGTTTCCTTTTGGGGTGATGAAAACGTTCTAAAATTGACTTGAGGTTGCACAACTCTGTGACTGTATCGAAACCATCAGACTGTATACTTTGTACCTTTTGCCTATGGTATGTGACTTATACCTCAATAAAATTGATTTTTTTTTAAAGATACCTAGGTTTTATTGAACAAGGTTAGTATTTTTGTCCCTCCAGAAGCCCTGTTACGGATTTCACATGCTTGAGAACCAACTGGACAAAGCGCTCTGACCTGCTCCATGCCTCACCACCCCACCCCTGCAGTACAATTGCTTTTGTATTTATTCTGTTTCCTGGAAATCAAGCCAAGCCCACCCCCATTGGCAATGACAGAGTGTGACGGGGTCCATTTAGAAGCTGGGCCTTGTCAATTACTCCAGGACACGACTGACCCCAAGATGTGAGAGAAGCCCGTCCGAGACCCACTTCCCACTGCTCCAGCCCATGCGCTCTGAACTTCAGAAATGTCCATGCCCAATGTCACATACCCATACCCTTTCTGCTGGCAAAGCAGGGATGGATGTACATCCTCCTCTGCAGACAAGTTGCAATTCAAACTTCACTATTTGGGAAGGGCCCAAAGGAATAGTGCCAAGGTCCCATGAAAACGACCTTTCCCTCATTCCCCCGGGGAGACCTCAGGGTTAATCCCAACACTCAGGAGTCACACCCTCCCATCCTGCAGTGTGTGCAAAAAACAAGTGTTTGCTGACTTCCAGGGACCCTAGATCTGAACGATCCCCTCTGGATTGCCAATGCAAGACTGGATCTCCTCTTTCCAGAGTTCTCAGCCTTTTCTTGCTCACCCACAACTTTCTGTGATAGATCAAAAGGCACTAATTAGGGACCACTGGCAGTTCTAAGGGAGCCACCGAGAGTCTGAAGAGATCTACCAGTGCAGCAACAACAGAGGCCGGGCAAGGGCCTCATCCTAGCAACAGCTGAAGGTAAAAGGGAAGACCCATCAGTTTCGCTGGGCTGGAGAGTGTGCCCCCAAATTCGTGTCCTTCCTGGAGTTTTAGAACATGGTCTTATTCAGAAATATGGCCATCACAGGTATAATTAGTTCAGATGAGCTCATACTGACGCAGAGGGGGTCCTTAATCTGATGGAACTGGTGCCCTTAGAAGAAAAGGAAGAGACACAGACACACGGGAAGAATGTCAGGTGACAACAGAGACAGAGATGAGGATGATGCCGCTACAAGCCAAGGAAACCGGGGCGCCTGGGTGGCTCAGTTGGTTAAGCGACTGCCTTCGGCTCAGGTCATGATCCTGGAGTCCCGGGATCGACCCGCATCGGGCTCCCTGCTCGGCGAGGAGCCTGCTTCTCCCTCTAACCCTCCCCCCTCTCATATACTCTCTCTCTCTCTCTCTCTCTCTCATTCTCGCTCTCTCAAATAAATAAATAAATCTTAAAAAAAAAAAAAATACAAGCCAAGGAAACCAAGGATTGCCAGCAGCATCGGAAGCTGGGAGACAGGTGAGGAAGGATCCTCCCCTCAGAGGGAGCACAGCCCTGCCGATACCTTGATTTCAGTCTTCTGGCCTCCCGCGCAGAGAGAGAATAAGGTTCTGTTGTTTTGAGCCGCCCAGTTTGTGCTGGTTTGTTACAGCGGCTACAAGAAACCAGTGCATCAGTCTTATTCCTGAAGCGGCACAGGGCTGTTCTGATGTCCACAGCTCTGCGGGGAAGACACACCGAACGAGTAACCACAAATCAGCAGGTACTTGAGCATTGTCCCAGGAACTGGGATTAACGTCGCCGGAGAGTGTTGCTGGCTCGTGGGAAGCGGGTGAGCCTCTGGAGAAAGAGCCATTCTGCGGAGACCATTTCCAGGCTTTGGACAGAAGCAGAAGGGCTACATGAACAAAACAAAACCATAAAAGTTTTAGAGGGAAAAAAGAGATTATTTTTACAACTTGAGGGTGGGGGTTCCCTTCCACAGGAAGGAAGATTCCATACCCAGAAGCCATAAAGGAAACAACTGACAGATTAATCTCATAAAAATTAAAAACTTCTGTAGATCAAAACACACAATAAGGAAAGTTTAAAACAAACAAACAAACAGCGTGAGGCGTTTTCTAACAAGCAAAGAATTAGTAGCCAAAAACAGCTCTCACAAATATCGCACACACACACAAACACACACATACACACCAATCCAATAGAAAAATGGGTAAGAAATTTGAAGGCCCATTAAGATGAGGGCAATGCGGGGTGCCTGGGTGGCTCAGTCGTTAAGCGTCTGCCTTCGGCTCAGGTCATGATCCCAGGGTCCTGGGATGGAGCCTTATGTCGGGCTCCCTGCTCCATGGGGAGCCTGCTTCTCCCTCTGCCTGCCATTCCACCTGCTTGTATTCTCTCTCTATGACAAATAAATAAATAAAATCTTAAAAAAAAAAAAAAAGATGAGGGCAATGCAGCAATGTGTTGGATGTTCAAGCAGGGCTCCCTCAGTCTCAGTTTGGGCAGAAACTCCAAAGGTCAAAGACCACACAGTAGGTGCCAACAAGCCCCCAGGGTCTAAATGCTGGATCCCTAATTCAGGACCCACTGAAAGGATTATCTAATCATGTACCTTCCACCCATGGGAGAGGGAGGGACAGAACAGCTGGTCCTGGGCTGGGCAAGAACAGAGCAGGACGGGATGGGAGAAGTCTCCAGACGGGGACCAAGCAAAGGAAGACTGTGGGCTCCCAGCACCTTGTGCTGTCTTGGTATGTTTATCTCTAGCCCCTCCTGAAAGTCCGCTAGAATGACAGTAAAGGAGGGAAAATAAGGCAAACACTTCAATGGACAAAGAAAGTAGAGAGGAAGCAACAGTGACAAACTCTTGGAACCGGGAAGGCGGCTGCATGCATGGTCACCACATAGTGGCTCGGAGCAGCCTGAGGTCTGACCAGGAGCAAGGGAGTCAAGAAGTAAAGCAAAGTATGCCAGAGCCACTCAAGGGGCACAGGGATTTCTCAAAGCGGCAGTGTGGGTGCAACTGAAAATGGAGGATTGATTAAAAATTAGTATGAGAGGGGCGCCTGGCTGGTTCTGTCAATTAAACATCTGACTCTTGATTTTGGCTCAGGTAATGGTCTCAAGGTCATGAGATTGAGCCCCGTGTGGGGCTTAGCATTGGGTGTGGAGCCTGCTTAAGATTCTCTCTCTCCGTCTCCCTCTGCCTCTCCCCCCTGCTCATGCGTGCACACATACACACTATCTCTAAAACCAAAAAACAAAACTTAAAAACATGAGTATGAGAATATTTTGACCCATGGTCTCTTGTTCCAATCTGTGCAGGTAAAACATTACCTCCCCAGCATCCTGGCAGAAGACAGGGCTCTGTTCTCCAGTGAGAGGGAACCAGGGGCCTCTGGACTCAGGAACCATGGGCACAGATGCAGGTGAGGGCATCTGGCTGACAACAAGGATGAAGTGAAAGTTGACACACCGAATGCTGAAACCCACACCCTACCCTTCTCTCGCCCTGAGAACTAGGAGCCAAGCTTATAATCTTTGTGCAAAACTTTGGATGATTCTTCTCTGGGGATACTGGCCAGCCCAATAGAATTTATGCAGATACTGGTTGTTTGGAGGCCCCGGTAAAGTGGTCAAGGTCAGTCCTCCTCCAACAAAGCCCCACCCAGACACACAGAGCTTAAAGTGTATGTGTTGGAGTCTTACTCTTTACATAAAGTCAGAGATGAAAACTATCAAAGCCTAAAAAAAAAGAGCTTAGAGGAAACAGACAACTCATGGAGCAGGGAAAATAGTTATAATATAATATAACGTAATATGTTAAGTTATAAGCGCCATCTCCAGGTAATAAGATATTAACATGCATCCATGAAATGAAAACTTGTTGCTTAAAAAATAACTACAAAGTAAGTTTTAAAAGGATCATTTGGAATTTTAAAAGTATTCTGGGAAATTAAATTGGCAGATACCCAAAACAACTGCATATAAGAAGTTTCTCAGAGTCCATAGTCTCTCATGGTTCATCTCTCCCACCGATTTCCCCCCCTTCATTTTTCCCTTCCTTCTCCTAATGTCCTCCATGCTATTCCTTATGTTCCACAAATAAGTGAAACCACCTCAAAAACTAATGGTGTATTGTATGGTGACTAACATAACATAATAAAATTTTAAAAATTAAAAAAAAAAGAAATTTCAATTTTAAGTTTAAGAGGCACCTTCCAAAAGACAGAATAGAAAGAAAAAGATGGAAAATAAGAGAGAAACACTAGAAAAATTAGAGAATTGGCCCAGGAAGTCCATAACTGAAAAACAGGAAGGTCTAAAAAAAGAACAGAAAATATACATGGGGGAGGGGAAGGAGGGTAGAAAATAATACAAGAAAATGTACTAGATTATGAGCATCAGTCATGAGCCTCCAGTTTGAAAGGACTCGCTGAGTACCCCCATGTGAAGAGAGACCCACACCAGTGCACCCCAAGGATGAAAAGAAAATTCTGAATAATTTCAGAGACAAAAGTGGCCTCATGTGAAGGAAAGAGGTGAGACCAAATCTGACTTCTCACAGCCGCTCTGTGAGCCCGAGGCAGTGGGTGACGACCTCCCAGTCCCAGGGGCAAAAATTTCCAAAGAAGCTGCCAATCAAATGTGAGGGTGGGAGAGTGAATTTTTGCATGGACAAGCTCTCAAAATACTTTCCTAACACTGAACGTTTCTCAGAAAGCTACTGGAGAAGGTGCTTCGCCCCAACAAGGGAGAAAACCAAGACAGGACATTGGATTCAGCACATAGAGACCCAGCGCAGGGAAGTCAGAGGGTCCCCAGGCCCCCAAGACCACAGCGGGGGTGGACGCACAGGCTGCGGGGGTGGGGGTAAGAGGGGGGTGTCTCCTGAGGAAGGAGGCTGGGCCGCAGCACAAGTATCTGCTAGAAAGAGAGCCCCCTCCAGCCTGAAGTCTAGGAATGGATGGTCACTGAACACTAAACAAAGGAAAAGCTTGGCAGCCCCTCATTCCAAGCAGAACAAAAGGTTGTACAAAATGGGAAATGTGCACTACATGGTTAGGCTGGGAATAATAGGAACATCGTCACAATTATGTAAATACTGAATATTGATTTGGCCAAAAATGACACTCTTAACTACCATGTTGGGCTTGAGGAGAAAGGAGTGCACATATGCAGGGGGAGAGGGAGGGCGGTTTACAAGAGTTACGTCCTCCTCTGCTGTAGTAGGAATTCATTAAATCACATTTAAACTGGAAAATCAAGAAATGGCAGTCCAAGCATGTTATTTTAAAGTAAGGAGGAAAGCACCAGAAGAATCTGTGAGAAGAATTCGAAGTGATGGCCTCTGGGGAGTGAGAATCAGGAGCGGGGAAGAGAGATGCTGGTTTTCATTATGAGTCTTGCAGAACCATTTGACTTTTAAAACTATGTACATGTATGACTTTGATAAACAAATTTTTTTAAAAAAAGCTATCAAAGAAACAACAAGGAAAGAGTAAGTGGGCCAAGTCAGCACATTTCAGACTTTTTAATCCACATCTCGCCAATGAGTAAAGACCTCCATAACTTGACTTGTTAAATGAGGGAGAGGCAATCAGTTTTCACAGTTGCTTACTGTAACTGCTTATTACAATTATTCCGAGGATGAAACCCTTCCCCCAGGCTCTATGATGCCACGTGGACACAGCCCACCTGAGTGACACCCCTTACCTCTGGTGGTGGTGGGGAACAGCACCGTCCCCAGTTGTAGTTTGGATCGGGGGGAGCCATCAAAAGGCGGCCCCCTCAAGACTCATTCATTCCCTCCTGGTCTGCTCTCTGTGCTCTGGGTAAATCTGACCGCTCTGCCGGCCCGCCTGTTCTCTCCGGAGGGCTGCCCCACAGTGGGGCGGGGAGGATGGCAGCAGGGTGTGGGAAGGCCAAAGCCCCAGGGGACCTCACAGCTGTGGCATACTGTCCATCACTGGGGCCGCCAATACCTCTCTTGCTCGTCCTGCTGAAACCTGTCTCCTGCGTCTCGTTTCTCAGTTGGATGTGAGCAGGGGAGGCGAATAATGGGGTGTTATTTATGAGTCTCTCGAAACTCCCACAGCCATGTGTCAGGCGCGGTGCCTGGTGCTTTGTAAATGCACCATGTCCTTTGATCCCCACAGCCCTCACGGTGAAATTATGACCCTGTGAATCTGAGCCTGGGTCTCTGGGACTCCAGTGGGGCTCTCCTTTCTCTGTGCTGCACGCCTCAGTTGGTAGAAGCATGCTCACCTCTCAGGGTGGGTGAGGAGTCATCGTGACATGGTCGGCTGGGAAGCCCTTGTCCCCTGGAGAGCATCAAGCGCATCTTGGCCTCTAGATTTCGTTGTCTGTCATGTGGCTGGTAATCCCCGTGAATTCTCCTGGCTCTGTCTCCTCATGGCCACAGATGTGGCGGCGATCATGGCCCTGTTCCCTGCTCTTCTCAGCCCACACGTTCCCCTCAGATGATTTCATCCGCCACATGGCTCCAATTACCATCTATCTGCTCAGATTTATGTCCCCAGCCCAGACTGTGTACGTGGCTCCAGACGCATGCCGCCCAGGCTCATCTCCCTCAGCAGCTCCGTGGTTGCTAGCGCTCTCGGGTCCCCAGTGACCGCGGTATCCTCCTTCCCAGGTCTGCTTCTCCTCCAGTGTCCTCTATCACAGTCTCCCTCACACCGCATCTCCCTGACACTGTTCCTGGCCTCTCAGCCTGAGAAGATGCTTGGCTTCCTTCCTTCGCACAGGCCACTAGGCCTTCCTGCTGGGACTGTGATGGCCTCTTAACCGCTCGCCCATTTCCACTCGTGACTCCGTCTAGTCCATTCTGTGCACTAGTCAGGATAATATTTTGGAGACACAAATCCTCTCATTTTACTCCTTCATTGAAAGCCCATCCAGGCTCAGATGTTGCTTACTAGTGAAGACCCCCTCAGACTAGCTTGAGTTCCCCTACCTGTTGCTCCTCTAACATATGGGACAACTGGAAAAGAACTTACTGCGATTATACTTTTGTTATCTGTCCTTCTGGGAGACTACCTTCCCAGCAGGATGATGGCACCTCGAACGTACCAGCCACTCCTGCCTGTTTCTCAACTGGGTCCCAGGGCCTTGCTCAGATGTAGTGCATAGTAGGGTTAGTAAATATCCACTGAATGGATTACTTGGAAGTGGCTATTAAAATAAATTACAAAAATACTGAATGTATTGATTTTTTAATAGATATTTTTTGGAGACGTTTTGGTTCACAGCAAAATTGAGCTGACTACAGAGCATTCCCATACGCTTTGTCCCCCCTCTAAGGCCTCCCCCATTTATCAACATCTCCCACCAGAGAGGTACATTTGTTATCACTGATGAACTACACTGACACATTATTATCCGGAGTTTACATTAGAGTTCACTCTGGTGTTGTCCATTCGATGGGTTTGGACATATGTATAATAACATGGCTCCCCCATTTTAGCATCATAGAGTAGTTTTACTGCCCTAAGAAGCCTCTGTGTTCCTCTTATTCATTCCTCTCTCCCAGAAAATGCCTAGCAACCACTGATCTTTCTACCATCTTCATAGTTTTGCCTTTTCCAGAAAGTCATATAGTTGAGATTCTATAGTATGTACAGTTTTTTACCCATTTTTAATCAGGCTGTTCATTTTCTTATTGTTGGGTTTTAAGAGTCCTTTGTATATTTTAAATAAGTCCTTTATCAGGTTATGTCTTTTGTAAATATTGTTCCCCAGTCTGTGGCTTGTCTTCTCATTTTCTTGAATTATATTGATTTTTTTTTTTTGAAGATGGAATTGGCTTTATTAAGCAATTCATGAATTGGGCAACATCCCATATAGCAAGTAGAGAGATGCTCCTGAATTATATTGATTCTTAAGGACAGAAATAAACCTGGAACTATTTTAAAGAGTTTGTAACATATGCAAGATAGATCCAGGGCCTTGAACCCACGCACAGTCATAGACTCATAGGAACTCCTTGATCTAAGAGAGCAAGTTTGTCGGGAGTTAAAGGGGTATCTTCTTAAGTGTTCCAGTGAAGCTGGACTATGAATGTGGTAAAGTCTGTCCCACCTGCCAAACCAGTCACCCATCTCCTGGGCTGGCCAGTGTCCAGACTAAGGTTTTGGAGTACCAAGGCCAAAAGTCCTTTGGATAGAGACTCCATAGAGCATTGGTGGAGGGGAGGCAATGCGGGACTGATGCCAGAGGTAAATTTACCTTCAAGTTAATGACAGTTCCAAGACAGACCCCAATTTACAGGGGCCCCTCCCAAGGCCCCGGAGGAGCCCCAGCAATGTAAGTAAGTAAGATAGCCTTCTATGTGCACTGGGGTTTCCCCTGTGCCGTGTATCTTTCCCCCTTGTTAGATGGAACTGAAGGGGCATCAGGCGTTTGAGGATCCAAACTAAGGAGAAGTTCATTTGGGAATATATGATTTAACATATAACTTGGAGAGACGTTTTTAAATGTTGCAATAAAACAAATAGAAAGTTACAGTTTTCTGATCTGGAGATACAATTTTGTCCTACTTAACTTTTTAATTAAGAAACTGAGGAAAAAATCAGATAAAAATGAATGGAATAGAAGACAAGCTATAAAGATGAGCTGTGGAATCAGTAGAAATTATTGTTAATCACATTAAATTTTTAAATGTTCCAATTTTACTATGAAGAGGAAGAGATAAATTGGTAATAAAAATAATGACTAGGCTCTTAGAGTGTTTAGTAATCTCACTAAAAGGGTGAATTCTGTGAAAAGGTTGGGAAGATACTGAAATTTCCTGCTGAATTGACCCAAACTGAAAGAAACACATTAAAAAAACTCATAAATGCCAGTAGAATACAAGCATCGATGTGACCATCATCATTCAGAGACTATATAAGATTAATAACCACGTGGAAAACTAGAAATGCCCTAAAATCTTGCAGCTCAGGTACAACAGGAGCATAACACAGGTGTTCCCCAATCTGATAAAACTCTAATTATGCCATTATCAATGCGTTATGAAGGTGAAAGCAATTGGTCTAAACTACCAAAAAAAATTTTTTAATGGTTTTGATCACTTATGCCCTGAAGACAGACTGAATTATCTTTTTATTATGACTAGAGAAAATCATTGTCATATGAAGAGAACAAAGAATACTCAGCTGAGGGGCGCCTGGGTGGCTCAGTTGGTTAGGCAACTGCCTTCAGCTCAGGTCATGATCCCAGGGTCCTGGGATCGAGTCCCACATCGGGCTCCCGGCTCAGCAGGAAGCCTGCTTCTCCCTCTCCCACTCCCCCTGCTTGTGTTCCTGCTCTCGCTGTCTCTGTCTCTGTCAAATAAATAAATAAAATCTTAAAAAAAAAAAAAAAGAATACTCAGCTGAAAATGTGTAAGGAAAGTATTATAGAAGTAGGTCCAGAATTTAGTAAAAATTATGTTTTTGAAGAATTTTGTGATGTTTGTTATTTATCAGCTTTTTAAAAAATTTGTAATTTATTGTGATTTTTGTCTCATTTAAAATAATCCCTTTGATGCTTTCATAGTTCTGTATTCATGCTTTTGTGTTCTTAATTCTTTTTTTTTAAGATTTTATTTACTTACTTGACAGAGAGAGAGAGACAGAAGAAGAGAGAGCGCACAAGCAGGGGCAGGAGCAGACGGAGAAGCAGACTCCCTGCGTCGTCCCAGGACCCTGGGATCATGACCTGAGCCGAAGGTAGATGCTTAACCAACTGAGCCACCCACGCGCCCTCGTGTTCTTATTCTTAAAGAAGTCCCCCAAGGTAAATAAAGACTGCTAGAATCAAGATCTGCTAGAACTGACTTGGGTGATAGGGGGATGGACACAGGCTTGCCCTTGATGCACATCCTCCTCTCCCTCACGCGGCCGTAGGCACACAGAAACAACCTGATGACCCGCAGAAGCAGAGCCTCACCTGCAGCAAAGGAGCGAGTTCTCTGTCCCTGATGTGTCAGCAGAGGGGACCCTACCAGGGAGGCCCTGACTCAAGTAGGGACTAGCGTGTAGTCACTGGAGATCTAAGCACCAGATTAGCTTTGGGGTCATTTCCAGCCCCGAGTCTTTTTTAAAGACTGGTGGTGGGCACTGTCACGCTCCTGCAGAGAAAATAAAGTGACTCAAGCTTTCTGGAAGACAAGTTGGCAATAAATATTCAATGCGTTCACACCCTTCAGCCCGGTGATTTCCCCTTCCTGGAATCTATGAATAGAAATGATTAGAAATGCAGACAAATATGTAAGCAAAATGAAGTTCCCATGGCGTTCACATGGCACAAGGATGATACAGTATCATCAGTGGTCAAAAAAAAATCCCTCTGTAATGTGTCTGCAGCTAGGTAGCTCTAACTAGGAGAAATTTATCAGAATTCTTGTGAAAATGCTTCTGAGCGGTACAATCTTTGTTAGTTTCTTTATGTATGTATCTGTGTGTGTGTGTGTGTGTGTGTGTAATGAACACAGATGACTTTGATCCTCAGAGGCAAATGCATTTTTAGATGAACCAGTGTGGAGGGAAACCAGACACCTACACTAGGTGCTTACACACCTGCTCCCACAGGAGTATCTTAGTCCTCATCAGTCTTTCTTTAAGATAACTGGCCTCAAAAATAAATAAATAAATAAATAAATAAATAAATAAATAAATAAATAAATAAATAAATAAATAAATAAAATAAAAATAAAATAAAATAAAATAACTGGCTTCAGCAGATAGAGACATGGGTCTCACCCACCTTCTTTCTCCGGGATCCCCGGCGCTATTGTGCAGACACTTTGATTTGGTAATGCTGGTAAACTCGAAGCAGCCCTTTGCGAGGTTCCTTGCATTCTAACAGGGCAGCTCTTCCCCGGGCTGGGTGAGCCGTCTTGTGCAGCCTCTCGGATCGCCAGGCAGGCCCCGTGGTTCTCACTTCCATAAGAGCTGTGGAGCTGTGTGGACCAAGATGTCTAGGAAGGCATAACCTGGAAACGCCCGTCCTCTGGCTGGGGAGTCCTTTGACGCTTGGAGAGAGCCGGGGCCGGGGGTGGAGGCAGAAAAATAGTAAGAGCCTGTGCAAATGAACCTCCCTCTCCTTACCTTTTTGTGAAGTGAGGAGCGGGGACTGAGAGACATCCCCCTGAGGGCCCCGGTCTGCCCCGTGAGCACGTCTGCCTGGATGGTGCCCCGTGACAATCACACAGTGAGGACATGGAGTCTGCCCCAGCCAGCGTGGCCAGCATGGCTGTGTTGTAGGTTGGACAGGTCTGTGTCACTCATCCTGACATCAAACTGCCTTCTCTAGTCTCCTGGAGTCTCTTTTGAGATAAGGCTGGGGTTATGGAAATGCATAAAGTAAACATGCTCCGCAGGCATCCTTTTTTAAACAGAGATGAGGAAGGGGAGAGGAGCCCAGAAGAGCCTGGTTTACCCAGGGGGCTGGATGTGTGGGTCGAACCCTGAGCGGGTCCAGCACTTCTGAGCAGACGTGGTGCTCAGTGCAGGATTGTGCTCAGGCCATGGCCCAGCAGAGCCAGCGTCCCAAACACAGGTGACTTCCGTGCAGGGGCTGCGCAGGATAGGACCCTCTGTAGGACTGGGTACCACAAGGGAGTCTCCACTGACCGTGGGAGGGAGGGTTCTGGAGAGAAAAAGGAGCACCAGGAGATCAAACTGGAGACACAACCCTGTGCAAGGGGCCAGGGGGTTAGGAGTACAGGGTGGGCTCGGTGCCCGAACACAGGGTGGCCCGCAGACCCCACCCTCCCAGAGGCTCTGCACCCACACACCCCGATCTCCCTTACTGGGGCTTCCCTCACAAGGGGTTTCTATGTGTCTCTCCAGCCAGCAGAGGCCACAGAAAAGAGGCGGAGCACAGCCTATCTGGAGTCTGTTCAGTCTGGTCCCGCGTGTTCCTCAGGCCAGGTCATGATGTGAAGGAACCACCCGATACAGAGGTTCTCTCTTCGAGGAAGCCGTGGGCATGGCCTTGCTTGCTCAGAAGAATGTCGGAGTCAGAGAAGGGTGACCACCATCTTGGAGAAGCTGGGGAAACTGAGATCTGTGGGGGAGGCATAACTTACTCAGAATCCCAGCTGGCGAAGGCAGATCTGGAAGCAACTGGAAAACCACACTGTGAATAACTATAGTTTGGCTCTGGCCACAACTCCCTCGGGGGCATTTTCCCCCCACATGGCCTGTTTACGGGCTCCCAAACCGTCCCCTGGAAGCTGCCCATCACCAGCCTCTAATCAAATGCACTTGGCGTTCCCGACCGCGGCCCCGCCTTCACGGACCGCCACGGCCCCCCAGTCCAGGCCGCACGCCCTTGGGGGTGCGCCGCTCTGGCTGCAGGAAGCCAGTCTGCTGGGAGATGCCGGGAAATGGTCTGCAGAGCCCTGATATGTATTACTTTCCAAATTTATCACGGCTCCGTCTTCCAACATAGAAAAATATGGTTTTGATTTTATCGTCGACACATTTTGCAGCCCCGGTCCATGGGTCCTGGGGGACAGACCCCTCCCGATGGGCTGGGCTCACAGAAGCAGCTGGGCCTTCCTGCAGGGTCCTGCTGCCGAGAGAAAGGCTCTGGCCTCGCCCCCTCCTTACTGGCCATCTGCAGCAAGCAGCCCACCCAGCCTTGCTGCCCCTCTCCCAGTACATCCCCGGGAGGGCTGAGGCCGTCCAGAGGGCTTTCCCTGGCACTCTGGGACCCCCTGGCAGCAGCCATGACTCAAGTTCTCGAGCACCTGGTATCTGCCAACGTTGTCGGCACAGGACCCTCCCAGCCCTGGCCAGGAGCCAGCAGAGGCCGGCCAGGGAGGGGAGCGGATTGCGGCGGTTGCTTCTGTGGGGAAGTGGGGTGGGCACCAGGCAGGCCCCAAGTCCGGCTGGAGCCCATGAGCCCAAGATGCCCAGCTGCACCCATCACAGCCATCCAGCTTGCCTCTCTTCCTGTCTCTCAATCTGTCTCTCCATCTCTGTCTCTGTCTCTCCCCCTCTGTCTCTGTCTTCCTCTCTTTCTGTTTCTCTCTGTCACTGCCCCTTTGTCTCTGTTGTTGTCTCTGTCTCTGTGTCTCTATGTCTGTCTTACTGTCTCTCTCTGTCTCCCTCCCCTCTCCTTCCCTCTCTGTCTTTCTCTATCTGTTTGTCTCTGTGTCTGTTTATCTCTGTCACTATCTCTTTGTCTCCGTCTTTCGTCTCTGGTGCTGTCCTTGTCTCTGCATCTCTAACAGTGTCTGTCTTTCTGTCTGTATTTGTCTGTCTCTCTCCCCCCTCTCCACCCCACCCCATCACCTCCAGGCTCATTCCCCCCGGCAAGCAGTTGCTCTGTGCCCAAGGCCATGGGGGGCCTGCCAGGGTGGGGCCTGCCACATTGCTCAGCTGTGCCTGCACCTGCCCAGGGCTGGCCCTGTCCTGCCCCACCTCTGGGCTGCGTCCTGACACCACAGAGCCCTCCCTGCTCCTCCCAGAGTGTGTGCTTGCTCCCTGCCCCCTCCCCACATTCCTGCTTCCCCGACAGTGGCTCAGAAGTCCTTAGTCTGTCCTGGAAGTTTGTGTCTGTCTGGAAGCTTGTGGAGAGTTCAGGAGCCTCATTTTGCCCTTTGTATTTGTCTTCCTCGGGGTGGAAAGAGTTTTCCTGTGTCTGCGATGTGGCTGGGGCCAATCGGCTCTGGCCTTCTCTCTGTCCGCATAACAGAAGCCAGGCGCCAAGCTGCCTGCAGCCCCCTGGGTCCCACGGTGGCTGCTCCCACCGGCTTCCCAGCCCAAACCCTCTGACTCGCTGGCTCTGAGGATGCGGGAACCCTCTCTCCCTGCTGCCCACCCTCATTCCTGGCTCCGCTTCCAGTCTACTAGACCACTGACCTTGGGTGCCTGTCACATCCCCCATGCTCCTCTCTAGGGCACATAGGACCATAGCCATATTGAGAGCCGGGGTCAAGGGGCCAAGAGTCCATGGAGGTCATCCCCATCACTGGTTGGGGGCTGTGTTAACAGAGCTGCCTGGAGAGATCCAGGCAGGGAACATAAACAGTGGCGGGGAACACTACAGAGAGCGGTGGGGTCTGGGGTAACCCCTTCAGCAGCTAGACAGGACAACCACTCTCCTTTTACACAGGGAGGCCAGATCCTCCAAATCTTCAAGAGAAACTGCACATCTGGATTTTTATATGATAATGTTGGGACATCATGAAACATGTTTTGAGAAACACTCTGTAGGCCAAATAAAATATATTGACAGAAATCTCCGGCTTGCATACCACCTCTATGACCTGTGTTGGGTGTCTCCTAACACCCACCCCCTAACCTTCTGACCACACTGAGAAGGACAGCGGGGGTTCCTCACAGGTCCTACACCCCTGCCTAGGTCACGGGCTCTGGCCCTACCGCCAGAGCCATAGAGGTCCTTGGAAGATCGCCTTGCAGAAGCCCACTGCTGTCTGCTCCTGGCTGGTCACCTTTGCCTGGCCTGCAGACCCTTGGGCCACCTTCCTTGCCTTTGACACGGCACGGCCCATCACAAACAGAGCTGAGACAGTAAAGCGGTCCAAGCCACAGGGGGCCCCAAGAGGACCGGGCTGTGGTTGACATGCTTGCTTTGGGTTGCTTTCCTTAGGTTTAAACAGAGCTACTTTCTGTCCCTACTCAGGCAAGCAGGTCAGAACACCCTGCCAGTGGCTGAGGCCCATGGCCCCCTAGGAAGTTCCTGCCTGCACACAGCCAGCCCAGCATGGGGCTGCCCCTCAGGGGGCAAGGGGCAAGCATGCGTGGGCCAGTCCCCAGCTTCACTGGGCTATAGCTGTGTGGTCTGGGCAAGTGACAATTCAGCTGACCTGCCACATCACCCCTAAAATAGGAACATGAATTACTTCATGCTAGATAAAATGGGACAAAATTAGGTAACTTCCTTAAATTCCCTCACAACTATCCCTCCCCATCTCCATTCTACTTTACAAATGGAATTCTCAGCTCCAGTAGAGTGGGGCTGTCCCTGGAAAAGCCCAGAGTTGAGAGTTTGATTTTCTTAACACCGAGTCTAGAAGCACCAGGGCTGGACTTAGGGCCTCCCCAGCTGGCTGCAAAGACCAACTTTGAGCTCCTTCCGCTCCCTCGACCTAGAGTTAACCCCCTCCCGCAGAGTCTGCCTTTGGCCCCGGCATCCAACGTGTGTGGGTACAGCGGGCTGAGCGCCCCACGGGGGCTGGGCTACCTCAGCTCTTGAGGACCTGTAGGCTTCTACCACCTGCCCCCACATGCCTGGGTCCCACCTCCCACCTGTGTAACACAGGCCCAGAAACTGTGTGTGTAACACTGAGCTTGGCCCACTGGACTCCTATACATCCCTCAGAACCTAGTCCAGACATACCTTCTACTGGAAGCTGTGCCTAGCAACGTGCAGCCCCTCAGGCTGGACTGAACCCCTCCTCTGGGCCTCCCCAGCACCCATCTTTGCCTTGATAGAGCACCCTTCCTGCAGTATGAATTCACAGTACAGTGAATGATGTAAGTGAGCAAGGCGGCCCCCTCTGGGGAAACTGTCTGGCCCAAGGGTCCCGGCAGCTGTTCCAAGGGCCCCCACTCCCCGTCTCAGCTGCCACCCTAGCCTGCTGTTCCCCACTCCCAAGCCAACCACACCCTGCTGGGAAGCCCGGGGCCACAGAGCCTGTGAGGACAGAGGACACAGCGTACGCTGGCTATCCCACTCAGGGCTCTGGGAGAAGCCCCTGGGGGAAGCCCCCTGGCCTCCGTGTTACCCTTGGCTCATTCTGTGTGGACTGGGACACCGTCCCTTTCTTTGGCTTCATTTTCACACCAGGCACTGGATGCCTTCCCGTCAGGGACTGTGTGTGCCTTCCTCAGGGCCCAGCCGGGCTGAGGGGTCCAGGAGCTCCAGGCCGCCCTGGGTATGACATCCTGCGGTATTAGCACAGAAGGTGATGAGGTGAAGACAGTTTGTCAGCTAGGACTGGGGCTAGATGACTATCTAAGTGATGCCAGAGATGGGCACACACTCAAAAATGTAAAAATATGTAGTGAGGGGGCTGAGGATGGAGGGGCACAGGTCCCTCGGCAGCACAGCTCCCCCTGCTGGTCATGCTCATGATGCAGCGCCACTAACCTGTGTCCCCTGTGGCAGAGAGGGACAGAGGGGACCAGGAGGCGTAGGGTGTGTGCGCACGCGCCCCCCCCCACACACTGACCCCTCTCTTGAGGACTCCCTCTGCCCACGGGCACCACTCACAGACCAGTCCCAGTGAACAAATTCAAAATCACCTCCTGTATGCAGACGCTGCCTTAGACTCACCTGGTCCAGGGCGACCCCTGGCTTGCGCTCCCTGTCTTCAATTTGCCACAGAGTCCTCTGTCCCCTTCCAACGTCCCCCACCCCAGGGAACTGGCCCTAGCCCCTTATCCCCTTACTGGGCCCTGGCCCAGATCCTCAGGCCCCCACCAGAATAAGTGCCCCGGGGCCCCACTAGGCGGCCGACCTCTGCACCCTCCCACACCCGCCCATCCTACACACAGCCCCACAGTCCACATGCCTCCATTGCCTGCTCGCAAACCTCCAGGACCTCCTTCCCTGAAAAAGCCCAGACTCCTCACTGTGGCAGTTAAACCTTGGGTGGTATGACCAGCCTGAGGACAGACTTCCCCGCCTCTACTCCCCACACATCCACCCTCCAAGCAACCCACAGCGCTACAGGACCGTTTCCTGAAATGCCTCCCACCTCCAGCCTCACAGACACCTCCACAACCCCACTCCCCTGCACAGGTGTACCCCACCTGACACACCCCACACACAGCCCTCCCCACTCATGCCCGTGGACAGACCACACCCCACTTCTCTTCCCCACTCCTGTGTCACAGCTACTTCCCAGCCACTTAGCCCTCGATGGGAGACCCCCACATCTAGAAGCACCCACTCCCCGGACACTCTCACGCCCACCCTCGCCCCGAGCTCGGGGGTCTGCACAGAAAGATCACAGGCCCCAGTGCCCAGTTTCCCAGGAGGAGCCTTTGAAAGAAATTGCACTCACAGAAAGCTCTGGTCCTCCAGGAGGGCAGCGGCTGGCTGCCAGGCCTACATGTCCCGGGGTGAGACAGGGCAGCTAACAGGCCCGTTGTTCATGCCTGAGCTGCTGGAACCAGGCAGGCCCTTCCCCAGAGCCCCTTCTCCATTTGAGGAGGCAGCAGGAAAACAAGGCCTTGTACCCAGGGGCCCAATGGCCCATTTGCGCAGCTCTCCTCAAGCAGAAATTTCCCACATGACCTCCAGCGGTGGGGAGGGGGTTGTCCAGCAGACAGGCCAGGCTCCTGGCTGGCAGTGGCCCTTTGTAAGGAGTCCTGCAGCCCCCAGACCACCTCCTTCCACTGTCCAGAGGTGCCTCAGTCTGCATGGGGCTTGGGAACGCACAGAGTTACATCCACATCACTAGGCCCCTTCCAAGCCACTGTGTGACCCTAGGCAAGGGATGGGAATTTTTCCTGCCTTGTTTCCTCATGCCCCCGTGCTGAAACAAGCTTGGAGGGCCCATGTGGAAATTAAGGAGAAAATGCTTTAGCAGCTGGTACCAGTAAGTCCCTTCTAACATATTCTCCTGCACTGCCATCCACCCAGTCTGTTTGCCCCAAATTTGAGCTACCTCAGGGCTCAGAGACATTCCCCAGGAGGGGGGCTCATCTCTCCCTTTCCCACTGAGGAGCACCATTCTGGCTGAGGGGGGGCGGGGGCAACGGGGTATATTCTCTGCTCAACCCGATGCCCAGCTCCCCTTGGCCTGCAGGCTCAGGTGCTGGCACTCCGCTTCTCCTGAATGATATTCTGACTTGTGCTGACCCTTTTCCCCAGCTGCTGGCCCAGGTGACCTTCTGAGTCCCACCTCTCAGCTCTACTCCCCCAACCCTGCCAGGCAACCTAGGACTTCCAGCCCTCTCTGCTCCTCTGACAGGTTGTGTGAGCCCCAGCGGCTTACTTCCTCATACCCAGACCCCTGGTAGGGCCAAGGGGACATCAGCAGGGCCTTTTCAGTGGAGGCTGGAAGGGGTGGGTGGTGTGAAACATACAGGTGTCCTCCATGATGCTCTTTGAGAGAGGACACAGAGACCCTACTAGCGACCTGGGCTTCTCGTCCCCCAGACCTCTTTAGAGAGACTCCCCTGTCCTGCCATCTGTGGCCTCCCTTTGTTCCCTACTCATGCTAGAACCTGGCCACCCCCACTCACCCCCACTCATGCTCCCCGAGCCCAAGGTCACATGGAGGCCCTGCTACTTGCATGACTGCCATGGTTCTTCCGTGGCTGGAAGCCTCAGGACACAGGTGTCAAGAGCTGGTTGTCATCTGCTGAGGTCCCCTCTGAAGGGGTCCCTCCCTTCAGGCCTGGACACATGGGTGGGCGGGCACATGTATGCATGGAGTGAAGTGGATTCTCAAGACCTCGGAGCCTGCCCCACCCGCCCACACTGCCATTGAAGGTAAGGTCAGTGGCTGGGCTCCTCCTTGCTTTGGGGCCACTCTGCTGAGACCCTATCCCCGTTTCATCTGACTCCATCCCTCCTCCTTCAGGACTGTTCTTAGCTGTCATGGAATCTTAGCTCTGGGAAGACCCACCCTTCTGCCCCCTCATCGTGGTAAGTAGAGCATTAACCAGTGGAGACCCTGAGGCCAGGGCAGGGGTGGGGATGTAGAAGGGCCCTGGGGAGAAAGCAGTGGGAATAAGAGAAAACAAGGCAAGCATGAGACAAAGGATTGAACAGGTTCTGGAAGGAGTGCTGTGCCATGCTGTGGCCAGGTCTACTGGTGGCTGTCTCCCAGGATGTGGAGCGAAAATGCACAGGTCAACACAACCAGAGTGACCAGGAAGAGCCTGGAAAGGCCGAAGAAGATGGTCCCCAGGGGACCCCAGAGCAATGGGGTTCCTGCTCTCTCGGCTAACAAGGGGCCGAGCCCAGGAGCGTGTGCCCAGCAAAGGGTAAGGGTCACCCGCCTCTCCAGGAAGACGTGCCGGTCAGTGGTCGGGGATTTTGAATGGGGTGTGAGAGCCCCGTACCACCCACAGTGACAGGGCTCTACCTTCCACGGCGGTCCACAGTATCTCTCCTACTCCCCATCTCCCAGACCTCCCCAGGCTCCCATGCTCCCACGCGTGCCCTGTGGGGATATACGCCAAGAGATTAAAGTCCCATCTATACGGTGGTGCCAAGAACCTCCCCGCCCACCACCACTGCCCAGCCCCTGTGTGGAGGAAGCAGACCAGTTTTCCACAGACATGTCACTCGATGCTCAGTCTCGTGAAGGAGAGCTGGAAGCCACGATGAGGCATCAGAATGGCCCGTGACACTGACCTCAACTCAGATGAGGGGGATGAGCCTCCTGGATCTGGATCAGCAGCTTTAGTCTAGACCCCTGACTCAGGGCACCAAGGCCCTGACAGCCCTCTCCTCTCTGAACAGAGTGGAGGGAGCACATCAGGAGCACATTCTCATCAGAAAGGATGCCCAGGGGCAACAACTGTTGCGAGCGATGCTCAAGCTCCCCTAGGATCATGGGCAGGGCATACTTGGGCCAGGAGTTCCGTGCCATGTAGCAGCCCCCCCCCCCGCCCCGGGGTCCACACTCATCACTGCCCCAAACCCTTGCTTGCTGTCTTCCCTCTCTATCTGGAGCTCCTCTCCACCAGGCAGACCGGGGGCTTGGGGCCTCACTGTCATGGCCCCGATTTGGGGGCCCCATGGCCAGATTATGGCGAGTTCTGCCAGGGGCCCATGCACGGGAGACAGCCTACTGGCAGCTCCAGCACCCCTACCCCCACCCCCCAAGCTCACCCCCTCCCACACAAAGCACAGGAGACCCCAGCCCTGGACATGGAGCCCAGCACATCTGTTCCAGTTTCCTCAGGAATATGAAAAAGATTGAACATGACAGGTCAGTTGTGTTCAAACAGGGTGGAGTGACCTCTGCAGGGCCCTTCCCTGATGCCAGGCATCTGAGGCAAACAGTGAACGTGCCTCCCGTCGTTTGGATGGTCCCTAATATCCAGCTGTTGGGCACCGGGGAGCTCCACCTTCCACATGAAGACCTGGGATTCTGAAGTGGGAAGGGTCCCAGAGGCCACTGGAGTGATGGTGGTCACTTCGCAGGTGAGTGTGCTCACCTGGATCTGTTTCCGTGATGCAGGCGTGACCAGGCAGGATCGGGGCTTTGCTCCTCCGGGGTTGCACGTCGCTGTACGAAGTGCCCCTGGTGAGTGCCGTGCACCCCGCGGTGCTCAGTAAATGCTGGAGAGTGTCCATGGACTTGAGGGCCAGTGGGGGTGGGTAGCGTCTCCCTGGCAGGCTTGATTCCCACGTGCACCGCCCCCACATGTGTGCCTGCTCCTCTGGGCCGAGGGAATTGTGTCGGGACAACGGGAAATCTTCTCCCTGGTCCTCTGCCAAGTGGGCCTGATGCCAGAGCTGCGATCCAGGGCATTCCTGCCAAGTTTCCAGGCTCTTGTCATGCTTCACTCCTACCCAGGGGGAAACCCCTGCACTTTCTCACTTCTTTTGAGACAGATCAAACTGAAGAGAGTTGGCTCACATCGAAGATGAGGCCTATTTTCTTTCCTCACATTTTTTGGAAGGAGGAAACAAATTGTTTTCCTTCTTTTCCATGGGATGCTGGTGATGGGCTCCGGGGGTCTGCTCGAAGCACCTGTTGCTAATTCCCAGGGCTGAGCAGAGGCGGTGGAAAGTGCCGACTGCCACAGGCTCTGGGATCAGACAGAGAAAAGGTCTCGAGGGTTCTCTGACGTCCAGCGGCAGTATCTTGCAGGAGGTAACTGGGGCCTTAGAGGTGCCTTGCCCGTGGACGTGGCAATGACGGGGCGGGAAGGGGAATCTTGACTGAGCCGGGGAGCCCCTCTCCCACTGGGCCCCATGGTCCCGCACTCCTGGGAATTCCCACGGCGGTGGGCTGAGCCTTTGAGAGCGGCCTGGGACAAAGGCAAAGGGCAAAGTTGAGCTCTCGCCCCAAGGTGAGCCTGCCTCCCTGACCTGAGCCATTTCCGCCCCTGTAGACTGACCCAGTGTTCTCTGAATACCTCCAGGGGAGAGTGCATGTCTTGGGGACAATCATACAAGCCCCACCGAGGCTCTCCAGTGCACAAAGTAAGGATGGCTACCTGGGCCTGCTCCCAGGCCCCTCCGGGTCTGGGGAGAACGACAAGGCGTCGGTCTTGCAGCCAGTGACAGAGCCCCTGACCCCGATGGGGCAGGGAGCGTCCCAAGAGGAGGTGGCTCCTCAGCTGAGCCTCACTGGTGGCCTGCAAGAATGGGGACGGTTCTCCCCACAAAGAGGTCTCCACGGAAGGGACGTGAAATGATTGTGGGATGCAGGACAGGTGTGTGAGCTCCATTTTTTTTTTTAACTGAAAAAGAAGAAAGAAAATGATACAGCTCAGCCTTACAGACCAGGTGCCATTAGGCAGATGCTGAAGGAACGTGTGTGTGCTGTCCACATTTCTAAAACACCCTTGTCCCTCTCCTCCTTCAAATCTGGGGCCCTCCTTGACTACCCCCCATGACACACACACTCATACCCTCCCCACGCCCCTCCGCCGCCCTGCAGTTTCTTCCCTGGCACCTCTTACCACGGACAGCATGGTTTGACCCCCTTGTGTTGTCCACCGTGGGTCCTCCCTCCACTACAACGTACATGTTGCCATGTCCTTCTGTGGCCCACACCCCACTCTGAGTACTTCCCACACATTAATCCATTTGAATCACATCCCGTGAGGTAGGTACTACTAAGATCCTTCTTCCACAGATGGGGAAAACATAGGCCCAGAGATGCTAAGTGCCCTGCCCTAAGTGACCAACTGGTTAACAGAACAAGAATTCAGACCTGGGTCTGTGCAGTTAACCCCTGGGCCATAGGGTCTCTAAAATGTCATTTAACCAATTTCTGGGATTCGTGTCTATTGTCTACAGTACTATATTCCCAGAGCCTAAGAGAGCATAAGGGCTTCATAAGGACTTGTCAAGTTAATGCATTTACCTCACCTCCCTGGCCTGTCTCCTCAGTGAGGCCTCCAACCTCTAGGCTATGCTGGGCCCCTCAGAAGGACCTATAACCCCCAGCAGCCGTGCACTGCAGTGAGAGCCCATCGTCCCCCAGGAAACAGGGAACACACTCTGAGATGCATCTTTGCGGGGTCCCCACTGGCTCAGGCCCCTGGGGCCTGTGAAAACAATGCACACACCCCCCGAGGGAGGGTCAGGTGATGCCCCCACCATACCAGGGCCAGTGTCCACATCGGGAGCAAGTCCTCTGGGCCAAGCAGCAAGGTGCTGCATAGGGCTGGAGCTGCCTCCCTGCCCCTTGTACCCTTCCAACCCACAGCTCCCTTTGGTCCCCAGCCCAGCCTAGAGGTCAGGGGCCTCACCGAGGAGACAGAAGCTTGTCACTAGAAACTTTGATGCAATGAAGGGAATAAAAAATGGCTAGAACTGGAGTTGAATCCCACCTCCCCACTTAGAAGCTGTGTGATTTTGGGCGAGTGTCCCCAAGCCAGGGCCTCGGCCCACATCTGTGGGACTTTACACCATACCCTAAATGACAATGTGCAGGCCCCCCACCTCTGAGGAAGGTCTTTCCTCCACAGCTCTGTGCTGAGCAGTGAGTGTACACCAGGCTGGGGACACGATCCCAGGACTTGGTGACAGAGCAGGAAGCAGAGTCCCTGTTCTCATGGCATTTATGATCGAGGGTGAGAAGAAGGATAGTATATACTCCCATACACACACACATAAAGGGTAATGAAAAAATAAAAGCAGGCTAAGAGAATGGAGAGTTGAGTCCTAAGTCTTTCCCAAGCTCTGTTTTTCTGCTCTGCACACAGTTTTGTCCCATGGAACCCCAGCCTCGATCTTTCCATCAGCCCAGGCGAGGACGTTCTGAGAGCTCGGGTAGTGGGGGCACACAGAAGCGCGGCTCACACCTCACCAGCCTCGTTGACACCGCCGAGGGAGCTCCCTGGGCCCGGGGAGGGTGGGTGCGGCCCCCGTACAGAGTCCAGGTGGGCCAAGCGGGCTTGGGTCTGAACAGCACCTAACCTCTGAATGGGCAGAGTAGCAGGAAGGAAGGTGGGTAGAGACGAGGGGCAGGCCGCATTTCCATCCATGCCGGGTGTGAATGAAGGTGGGTACCAGGGTGGCTACGGGGCAGGACTGGGGGAATGGACCCAGCCCCAAGGAAGGCTGTGGGGCGGTCTCCTACGGCCTGGGGAAGGCTCACACTGCAACCCAGCGGGCAGCACCATCTCCCAGCTCCAGAGTGTGGGCCTGGCCAAGGAGCCTGGGCCTGTGGGCGACTGAGGCCAGCACCCACGTGCTGCTCAGGATGGGGCTTGACCCACAGCACTGGCCTGGTCGGGACTGGCCCAGGACCAGTGGACAGCAGAGCAGGCAAGAGCAATGTCTTCCCAAGGTTGGGCCCAGCCAGCCTGGTGCATCAACTGAGGTGAGCACAGCTCTCCAGACTCAAAGCAGTTGTGCCATCAGAGTGGTCCTTCAGTGCATTGTGGGAACCAGACAGTCTTAGGTTCAGATCCCACTTCTGCCCCTGTCAGCTCCGTAACCTTTGGCATGTTTTTTACAGGCCCAACACAAGGCTTCCGAAGCTGTCACAGGGGGGCGGTGACACGTGCCTTACAGGGCTGTCTTGAGAGCTGATGAAATGGTGAACGTGAAGCCTCCAGCCAGAACGAGTGGGCGTATCACTTGCAGGCCACGCGCACGGCCGGACCGTCCTGGCCCCATATCCGTCTGGCAGGCACGGGTTGGAGGCCGTGCTGGGCTGGCACATTCTCATCCTGCCCAGCTACCCTGGACTGTTCATGTTAAAGTCACAGCTCTAAAATATTATCACTGCAGGCCATGAGATTTCAAAAAGGGCTCCCTTTCTAGAGCCACGTTGCTCTGTCTATAATTAGCTCAAATTTCCATGAGCATCTGGAAGAGGCGGGAACAGCTGACCGGCGGGCTAGGTTTGTTAATGTAAGGCATTCCTGGGGTTTCGGGGCAGCCCGGTCTGTGCTCCTCCATCCCTCACTTCCCTGGCCCCTGCTCTCAGTGGCCACCAAGCCCTCATTAAGGGATTAGCAATGTCCACCAGGCACCGCCATGGCCTTGTACTCCAGAGCTGCTGGGCTCTCCGCTCCATCCCCTGTGCCCCTTATCAGTGCTCCCCAAGCCCTGTTTGTGCTGGGGAAATCAAAGCAGGACTTGGCGGAAATCGTGGACCACTGGTCTCATGCGCTAATTGAAGACTCTGGGGCCAACCGTCAGGGAGGGGACCAGACTTCCTCCATTCTCAGCCCTCTGCTAATGGGATGTCAAAAGCACAGCTGGGGCTGCAGGCTGAGGAAGCCCACATTGCTAAGACCCGTGAGAGCAGGATAAAAGGATGACACAGTCTGCTGTGCCTCAGGGAAGATGGCAGGCCTTGCTTAACCAAGTGCTGAAGGGGGCTGTCCCTATCCGGGCTCAGTGCCTGGGTCACGGGGGGTGTGGCTGCCAGAGCCCGGCCACACACTGGGAACACCTGCAGCAGCCCTCCGTCCTCAGGGGCCCTCTGCTTTCATGCAGAAGGGAGGCACGGGCCTGGGGGGTAATATTCTCATGTGGCTTGAGACATATTCATGACTCACTGGAACACTTTAGGACAGTTCCGAGGGCCTATATCCCTGTCCTTCAAAAAACAGATTAAAATTCAAGGATGATTCTGAATCATGAAAAATGGCAAAACATACAAGGGAAAACTATGTAACCCTGAACAGCTTCTACTATTATTCTCTGTTCCCCAGACTCTGGGCCCTCTAGACTGTGAGTCCCTTGAAAGCATCAACCCCCTCGATGGCCCCTGCTCGGCTCCTGTCCCCAACAAGGCAGGTGCAAGGTAGGGGCCTGGGACCATCTGAGTGACTGAGCTCACACCCTTGCACGTGGGGTGGGATAAACCCCTAGGTAGCAGTCATGGCCCCCTTTGCCTCCCACACCCACTCAAGTTCATGTGAGCCCGGGGACCTAGCCCCAGCCTCACTCCAGCTCCTGGACCTTGCCCCCAGCTCGTAGTCCTCTCCCCCAGCTTTACTCCAAAGCAAAGGCTATAAATGTGAGGCCACTAAGGTCAAGATCTGGTCATTTCTGCCTAAGCAAACGAGCTTGACGTGAGTTCCTGCACAGTGAGAGTTCATATGCTCAGGAACTGTCTCCAAATCTTCCGTGGACCAGGCAAGAGGCTACATGAGTACAACCTTACCTGAGTTAGCATGGCCACTGCCGGGACTAGAAAACACTGCAAGGGTTCAGCCCAGAGCCCCTGCCTTACCCACTGTCCTCTGGTCAGAGGCATCTGCCAACCAGTTTGGAGTGATGGTCAGTAATGGCCCACAACTATAGGGTCCAACTCAATGCACCCATGTGGCCAGCCACCATCTAGTGGCCCAGGACACTCTCCAGAACTCCCTCTGGATCCCTGCAGCAGATGGGGTATTGCCATGGTGAGTGCGGTGTGCCAGAGCAGATGTTTACGGTACAATCCAATAACTGTCTGAGGAGACCTTCTGAGCCCAGCTCTCTTCCTTCGGACTGCTGTCAATGACAACTTTTGTTGAACATGTTCCTCAATTTCTTTGTTATTCAAGCCAACTTCCTCTGACAGAAAGAATCTCATGTTTATTGAGTACCTTCTATTTTCTAGGACAGATTCTGCCAACTCAAACCTGCAGGCAAAATCCAACCTTCTGCCTGCGTATCAATAAAGTTTTATTGGAACACAACTGTGTCCATTCACTTGCATTTTGCCTGTGTCTGCTTTCAGGTCACAGCAGCAGAGCCAAGTAGTTGCAACAGAGACCTTGTGACCCACAAAGCCTAAAATATTTACTACCTGGCCCTTGACAGGGAAAGTTTGCCAACCTTTGTACCAAGAGGTCTGCAAAAATTATTTTGTTTTATGCTCATCATGTCCCTGAGCAATGGACCCAGAGTGCCATTTGAAGAGAAGCCACTGAGGCTTGGAAAAGTCAAATAGAACCCACAGCTGGTAAGGAGGGGAGGCAGACCTCCAACCCATGTCATCTATCTGACCTTGAAGACCGTATTTTTGGCACTTGGCATTTCCCTCAAATCTTTGGTCGAGCAAGGCAAACGGTAGCTTTGATCCTGCTTCTGGGGCAGCTAGGAC